TTTTTTAAACTTTCTCAGGTACACACCTGGATTATATGTAAGTAAGAGAAGCGGCAATAAAAGAACGTTCTCCGGTACACACCTGGAGGTTGAACAGCTCTTCTGCTCGGCTTTGTTGTTGTTATTAATAGTGTTGAAACGATCTCACCGGGTACTCGTTAGCTCGCTCGCCAGAAACTCGGCTCGTTTGCACTAACGAACACCGTACACCGTAATCCGCACACATGGCAGTACAAGTCGAGCAGGGAGTCAGAAATTTTTTTACGACTCCCTCGTCGATCGAGAGTCCAGTCCCGCGCAAAGTGAAAATCACTCGCAGTTACAGTGACTGCATGCCGCCTGCACGACACTGAGTTGTTTCAGTTGTCGTTGCAGCTTTGGTGGACTCCACTGATGTCTTGTTCCGCATCTGCTGACCTGCTGCAGGGCAAACTTTTGTCAACTCTCCATTTGAGTGAAAGTTACGCTCAGTCGTTTGGAAGTTTTCTCCCGCGATGCAGCTAAGAACAGGGCTACAGTCTTTGCTAAACGGTCTATTGTTACAAAGGCTGCTCAACGACGGCGCTGAAAAGACATCTCGACACCAAACAGCAGTCCGAAGTGAAGCAGCAGCATCCCCAAACACCGGCGGTGATAATTTGGACCAGCTGAATTGAAAAAAATCGAACTTAGGAAAAAATATTCTAAAAAATCATTATTTGCCACATCAATGAAACTCGTTAGCTCGCTCGATAGCTTGCTCGTTAGTGGAACTGATCGCTCGTTTGTTATAGATACGCTCGTTTCGACACTAGACTTATAAATTCTAATGAAAACAGGAATGCGCAGCAGCTTTTAAGCAACAGACCCCATACTAAATATACGCTATACTAACAAGAGTCAGGTAAAGTTCCGTACTAGCCAGGCAGGGATACTACACCAGCACTGAAATCCCTCCATATTTCAACCCAATGTAGTTTACCGTGTATTCTCTAATATAAGCGCCGTGCTTATATTTTTCAACACCCCTCTACCCCGCGCTTATATTGGAGACCGCGCTTATATTGGAGACTGCACTTGTATTGTTTCAACCAATACATCCACACAAGAAGAAAAATAATACATGCTAGATATCATGCATGCAGCATTGATTCCACCAAGACCGTGCTAATAATAGAGACTGTGCTTATAATGTTTCGAACGGTGCTCACAGTGTGCTAGTATCAGAGACTGTGCTAGTAATGGAGACCTGTGCTTATAATAGAGAATATGCGGTATGTGATGTTTTCTACTGTGTCATTATGAAGACAGTTGTCTTTCGCACGAAACTTGGAGTAATAATGCCATGCTGCTAGTACTTCTACCCTGTCGTGAATATGCATCACGAATCCGCGTTACGTTCATTATTATGTCTTTATTTGTTTATGTGTTACATCATGTTGACGTCATGCTGATGTCTTGCTGCACGCATCGCGTGCACCGTTTTGCAGCTCTCAGCCCGGAGTATGCGCAGCGAGCCTGTGGCTCCTTTTTTGCTGCCTTTTTCCCTTTTGCATGCTTTACTTGTCTCAACCTTGTCTCAAATAAGATTTTCTGGTGACACTCCTTTTCAAGTCACCTAATCCTTTCAAGTAACAAGTGCAATGTCGTTCCGTGAACCGGAACCCCTCCATATTTGAGTTACCAAGACGTATTTGTGCGCGGCTATCCAAGCTCTCCCACTCAACAGTTCAAAGTTGTGCACAAACTCCCTCCACCCCTCCCTCCATCCACCCCCTCCACCCGTCCACCCCCTCCCTCCCCTCCACCCCCTCCCTCCTCCACCCCCTCCACCCATCCACCCCCTCCCTCCCTCCACCCCGCTACCCCCTCCACCCCTCTACCCCCTCCACCCATCCACCCCTCCCTCCACCCATCCTCCCCTCTACCCCTCCTCCCCCTCCCTCCCTCCACCCCCTCCCTCCTTCCACCCATCCACCCCCTCCCTCCCTCCACCCCTCTACCCCCTCCACCCCTCTACCCCCTCCACCCCTTTACCCCTCCACCCATCCACCCCTCCCTCCACCCCTCCTCCCCTCCTCCCCCTCCACCTCCTCCTCCCCCTCCACCCCTCCACCCCTCCCTCCCTCCCTCCACCCCCTCCTCCCCCTCCACCCCCTCCTCCCCATCCACCCCCTCCCTCCCTCCACCCCTCCACCCATCCACCCCCTCCCTCCTTCCACCCTCTCCACCCATCCACCCCCTCCACCCATCCACCCCCTCCACCCATCCACCCCCTCCCTCCCGTCCACCCCTCCTCCCTCCCTCCCCTCCACCCCTTCCACCCCTCCCTCCCCAATTCCTAAACCTAAAGGCACTCTTGGCCATGCAACCCATTCACCTTCTTGACCGCCATTCCCTTCATCGCCTTCTAAACTTCGAGCTCCCTGCTCGGCGCGTCAAAAGTCGAGGCGGAGCATGTCCGCAAACAGCAACCCAACCTGCCCTGCGTCCTTTTCTGCATCTCTCTGCCTGCTTACAG